GACCCTGAGCCACCTATTGAGGACCAACTGGTGGCTTTCCCTGCTAAAGTTGTGTCGTCGCCAGCCTCCCTCAGACTGCCACTAAAAAAGCTCTGTGAAGCTCGTGAAGCCGCGATAGCGGAGTCAGGCAGATCGCAAATAGCAAACAAACGGTTGCGGAAAAGAACGGAGACGCCTGTACCCTTTGAACAGGGTGATCGGGCCTGGTTACACTGTCCTGAGGTCCGGGTTAGAAAATCCGCCAAACTACACCATCCTTGGCAAAGCCCAGTGGAATTGTTAAAATCCTCTGCCCGCAAAGTGTTCACATCCAAATGGGACACCAGAGATGGGTGGTTAATCCGAGTCGCCCTAAACCATATAGAGAACTGACGTCACAAGGGATCGTTCAGGCTCAAAAAGGCCGTGTCCAGGGGCGTCATGTCGAATGCCAGGGAGGGGAGCATCCTCCTCACAGAAATAGTGCCCCCGCACTCTCCTCTCAGGATCGACCGGAATGAAGATGGCCACGATGAGGGAGGCCGACGGACTAATTTAGAGGTGCCGAGAAGGAGTGTCACCGAATCGAATGTGCTGCTCGACCACACCTACAGTACATATTGATGGCTTGTTGTAAATGTAGGGCTAATGATGTTGCGTATTGTTTGCCTAAGAATGTACACCTTCAATAGGGCAGCCCACGTAAGAGTTTGGTGATGATACTGAATGGTCAAGTTGGGTTGTAATGCCTTCCCCCCCTTGATTCAAGCGCCTATGTTAAGCATTAACCCAGAGGTTAAATGTTTTGTACTCCATGCCCACATCACTGAATCCCTTGTGCGATCCCATTGATTCCCACATAGAGTTCCCTATTACTGGTAGGAACGAAGTTGTAAACTGAGTGTACCAGCCTGCAATAGATGAGTGTACCAGCTTGCAATAGATTAATGCGTCCGTCCGTCCCCTTTCAATACTTTAACGAAGTGAAATCTCGTGCTATTGGGGTGTAAAAATAAAATTGCGCAAAATTCCAATGTTCCTACCAGCCCACCCTGCAGGGACCTGTTAAATTAGAGTTTTAGCCGGGACAGATATTTTTATGGGCAGAAGAGGGTGATGTAGGGTACTGTACATGGCAAAAGTTATAGTGGTGTCAGTGGAGATGGGTGGAAACAGGTGCATGGTACCATACGAGGGAAGGTTCGAGGTATAAGACGGTAAAGTTTGCTGGAATAATCTTAAATTAAAGCTTTCATGAATGCAGGGATTCATACTCTTTGGTGGAGACGATAGCACAGAGTGGTGTACCTTCTTTATGATTCTGATATTTCCATCCTACCTGCCTATGTCAGCTGTTATTTCCGACTCTTTGTGTCTCTCTCTATGCCTCTCTCTTAGATCTCTCATGCTTACATGTCCTTTGGATTGCACTCTCATGCCTTTGGATTCCACCACTCTTCGATATTACTTTAACATGCTAATCTCTCACATTAACATAGCCACTTTGATGCCCTCTACGAGGAGGCCGCTCTCCGTTCTTACATTTACATGCTAATTTCTCACATTAACATCACTGGCCCCGCCCACTTATTTATGGCCCTTGGGCTACACCCATTTCAAACTCTTTTAAACATTCTGCCTCAACAGCAGATCATGCTTTGCCATCTCATGACGGACGCTTGTGTTGCACCCGAAACGTCGTGATTTATTTTATTTTATACCTACGTGACTTTACCGAAAGAACCAAAGAGTATGGAAGATACCAAGTCAGCTTCATCCCAATGGTGGTGTTTAGGCGAAAGTTTATCTATGAGTATATATAGGCTGGCTAACAGGTATGAAGTTACTCCTTTGGTGGTAATATACAACAAAAACAATAATAAATGTATAAGCATTGTCATGGGTGAAGTCTTCCCATACGGGATCAGTCATGGAGATTGTTTCACCATACGCCATCATGCTTCTCAACGTGGGTTGATAACGAAAAGGCTCATGGCTAGTTTGTTTGATGTTAACTATAACCGAGAATCAAACTCAAGTGGCCTGATTCATAGTGCAATGCACAAACCATTGTGCCAACGTTCCACTCGTATGTACAAGTTAACAGGGAAATTAAAAACTATGCCATGTTTTTTGTTTACTGTCAATAAAATGAGAAAATAACATTGCCACGTTGGTCAAGTTTTAGGTATAATGCAGACAAGGGTTTTGGTAGTTGGACGATTTCAGAATGGGTTGAAGGTGACAATCCTAATCAAATGCCATTTTCAGGATGCGTGCATAGGTCTGTTGTAGACAAAAACAACAGCCTGCTGATAAAGCATGTCCTGCATTCTTACATGTGTAAAGAAGCTCCTTCGCAGGTTTCATTTTCTAGATGATTTATTCCCGACGATAACATATTTACAAGGTGAGAGTACGACTCACACGTTGCACAAGGCTATGACTATCTGCAGTCCCGGTGGTTTCTAATAGAGTAGATTAATCTCGAACAGTCTTTCTTGATGGTTTCCACCATGTTGATTTCCAACAGTCGGCCCCGATGTCGTCCACCTGCAGTTGTTCTTCAGTCCCCAAGGCATCACCCCATTTGCGGGCCATGCTCCCCCTTATATACCCGCACGGCCACGCCCTGGTAACTTCCAGCAGTTTTCCCCGGTAGATTCTCTCAGCAGACTCTATTGTCTTCTACTTCACTTCTCTTGGATGGCAAAGTTTATAGTGGGGGCAGTGGAGATGGGTTGAAACAGGTACATGTTACTGTACGGGAGAAGGTTCGTGCGAGTCATACTCTTGCGTTGTAAATACGTCATCGTGAAATAAATCATCTATCAAATGGAACCTGCAAAGGAGCTTCTTTACACATGTGAGTGTAAGCCTGAGTACAATCTCACGTGTTGTTGCTGTCGAGTATTTTAATTTTACCAGTGGGTCAATGAGGGAAGGGGATGATGATTAATGTAGTGATAGAATGGGTGTGTCATTCTTGAGAGCATGAAAAAGTGCGTGAGTGAGGTTGACACAGTGAATGATCGGGTGATTGTGTGATCAGGTAAATATATGACTCATGAGGAGAGAGAGGGAGTATTTACGTGAGTCATAGATTTAAGGAAGTGGGTAGGTTCATAATGGAGTGAGTACCAGTTTATTGAGTTGAACAAGGCGAGAACTAAAGCGACCATGATGAGTCTCATTTGCAAGAGAGACCTGGATCACCCAAATTACCAAAGCTAAATAAAACACAGAGTTACAGTAATTAAAGCAAATATACTATTTTTATAAATAATACAAAACAACTGATGCGTCACATGGGAAATCGACGTAATGGAGTTAAGGGATGATAGAATATGTGAGTAAGGTGCGACACGGGTGTCCTCTGGCCCTTTCACGACTTAACATTTTTTTTGACTACGTAGTTTGAGACGATTTCCATGGATGTACCAGTAGAATCTATATCTCGTATAGATATAATGGGAGGCTGATCGATGCCCCAGTTCGGTCATGGTATGGCTCTCTATTGTTAAACCATATTATGAATGCGGATGATCTGGTGATTACTTCCCACTCTAAGGAGAAGTTGGAGACACTACAGCTAAACATGGAGCATTATCCTAAATTATGGGCCGTTACCATCAGCCTCGCAAAAACAAATCACCTCCCTGGGTATTTTACATCATCAAAATGCTCCCCTCCCTCAATTCCCCATGTATTTTGGGGCAGTTGTGGAGAGAGTGGAGATATTTCCGTACTTGGGCAGTGTGCTGATGACCAACTCTGTTTCAGTAGCCGAGGTCTCACTTCGAATCATTCGAGCGGCATTCTATTTTCATCAGCTGCTGAATACTGTGTGGAAGCTACCTGGCATGTCACTCCATACAAACCTTCATGTCTTCTGGACCGCAGTTATGCCCTCCCGTATCTCTCTCGAAAGGAACATCTGCACTGGTGTGAAACATTTTGGTTAGCCCACGATCTATCCAGGGTTTAACCAGACTGGACTTTGTGAGGAGCTCAGATTCCTGGAATATCTGGACAAATGCCCATCTGTGGGCTCCTCCAGCAAGCGAGGCTGCGTTGGTTGTGTCATGCAGTCCGTATGCACAGTCACGGCATCCCCAAGCAGCTTCAATTTGGCTGGATAGATGGTGCTAAATGGGCGTGGTACGGGCTAGAGAAGAGATGGACTGATGTGGTACAGAAGGATGTGGAGCTGATTGGACTTATTGATGACTGGTATCAGCAGTGTCCCGATCGGCTTCTGTGGAGGAGGTTCATGAAAAGCGCTGCTGGGGAGGTGGAGGCAGTCGCCCTCCAGCAACAGCATAGGGCAGAGGAGCAAGGCTCAAAACAACGAGCAGAGCGCCAAACAACTGACACAAATAAAGTTGGCACAGTGGGGAGCACGGCTGTTGCATCTGCCGATCATTTTCCTTAGTCAATCCATGGCACCTGCGTCTATTTACATGACCTCCTGCCAGCCAGCCTTCGACACTTCACGTGGCCTCAAAATGCACCGAGCATGGCACAAGTGCTGTGGTGATACTCTTTGGTTATATTGGATAAAGTCACGTAGGTAAAAAATAAAATAACAAAAAGTCACGACGTTTCGGCCACAACACAAGCAGCCTTCATCAGGTGAAGGGACGAGACTGTCTGGAGGACAGCGAAAGCTTTAAATCTGCTGTGGTGATGTCACCGCCACTTAGGGGTGAACGACGGTTGTTCCGTTGTTGTGCGTGTGTGCACGGACGTATGTACGCCTGTGAGTCTCGTGTATGGAGAGATAAAGAGAGGCAGCCGTGCGTTGTGCTGGCCCATGTGCCATTCTGAGCTTCATAGGCGCTGCTCACTAACAGCGCTTGCCCCAACATTCTGGTAAGGCTATACGGCGAATGATTGTCGCTGTTGTGTGTGTGTATGGACGTTCACCCCCCTCCCACCGCCCCCGTGTGTGCAGTTTTAGGGACTCATTACGCCCCCTCCCGACAAGCAGGCCAGCATCCGAACTAAAGGTAAGTGACAATAAAAACAGATTTTTTTTTCCATTTAAGTAACTTTATGTTTTGCTCACAATACAGTATTTATTACATTGTTGCATGCAAATGTACGATATTTTGTCTTACATATGACTTTGACAATGTTTCCATGTTTTGCTGAACCGTGATAACATCTTAAAAAACTTACAGTATGTGGATTTAAATACAGTACACTATTGTATTCAGACTTATGAACCGTTCGACTTACGGACAGTTCTCAGGAATGGAACCGATAAGTTGTATTATTCGCTAACAGCACCTTCCATTGGTATGGTTGACTACATACGATGCAAAGAAAGTTAAATATAGATACATATATATTGTACAGCACTTTCCCCAATAGTATGTTGATGTTCTATGGGGTATGTTTGTCTTTCTGAGTAATGTTTTAATTGGGGCGGTGTCATTTTCACAATTTCCCCAATGTTTTTACATTGGCCGACTTGCGCGTCAGCAATTTTCGCACCCAATGGATAAATCTCTTCTTCTTCTTCTTGGGCTTGGTGGTGGCAGAAGTGGTGGTGGAAGCTGTGGCAGCGGCGGTGGAAGGGGCATCGGTGGCATCATGGTACATTTGAGACACGGCGCATTTCAATTCTTTCAGCTGGCTACTGAGATGAAGGTTCTCTTCATGCAGCCTCTCTTCCCCATGCCACATGTCCTCGTGACGCACCAGCTTCCCGCGTAGCCTAAACTGTTCCTGGCCTCTCTGCGGATCCAGGAAGTTCAACTCCGTCAGGTGGGCGTGCAGCGACCTCCGGAGATCTTTGTTTTCACAGCGCAGCGACATTTGCCGCTGTGCTGCATTGCAGTCTCGGAGAAAATCCGCATGGAGAGACTTGCTCTCCCTGCAAGGCACTCTCGTGGACTCCAGCTCCAACTGGCACTCTTTAAGCTGTTGAACCAGGCTCCTGTTCTCTCTCTGGAGAGTCTCTCGGTTCTCCATCAACTCCTCCTGCTGCTGCTGTAGCTCCAGACGGAGCATCTTGTTCTTCTGACAGAGCTCCACATTCTGCAGGCTCATCCTCTCCGTTAGACAGCGTCAGTGACCTCATCGGTCAAAGTCTGAGATGGAAAGCGTAAAACGACGATAAATGAAGATCTCCATCCAAAGCATGGCCAAGACCAGAACGCCAACGATCAGCAGCACCATGCTCAGCTCGTGTTGACGGCACGCGGGACGGAAGGAAGTGTGAGACACGTCACGAAGGGGCGTGTTATTTATACAAACGTCATTACCGGATGTGACGTACGCTATGACGTAACAGCCATCCCTGCCCACTTATTGTCAATCATTGCCCACCACGTGACTGCACGGCCCCGCCCCTAACCGCCCAGTTCCTCCCCCATACTCTTCTTCCGCCTTCCCCACGTGACGCGACGCGAGCCAATCACGCGAGAGGCGGCGCGCGGTAGGCCCCGCGACCGCTTCCCGCCATTCTTGCAATGGGCGGCGGGGCCGCGCAGGGTGGGGGGGGCGGCGGTGAGGGGTAGGAGCCAGCAGGGACCGAGGGGAGGGGCAGGCTGGACGAGGGGGAGGGGCCAGAGGGACGAGGGGGAGGCCAGGAGGAGAGGGGGAGGGCCAGTAGGGACGAGGGGGAGGGGCCAGGAGCGGGAGGGGGGGGGAGCCGTGGCGCCGCTCTTGGGCCGCGAGGCCTCCCCCTGGGCCCGCGGCGCCACGCGGAGACCGCGACAGCAGCAGCAGGAGGTGGTGGTGGTGGTGTTTTGTTGGTTGTAGGCACGGGAGAGGTGGTGGTGGTGTTTATGTTTGTAGGCACGGGAGAGGTGGTGGTGGTGTTTGTGGTTGTAGGCACGGGAGAGGTGGTGGTGGTGTTTGTGGTTGTAGGCACGGGAGAGGTGGTGGTGGTGTTTGTGGTTGTAGGCACGGGAGAGGTGGTCACGGACAGGCGGTGAGTGCCGGGTGATGGAGGGGGGGTGAGGGAGTGGATTGCAGGGTGAGTGAGTTAATGAGGAGAATTAATAGGTGAGGAGGGTGAGTGAGTTGAAGGGTGAGGTGAGTGAGTGGGTGAGTGGTGAGTTCACGACAGGGAGATTGGGGCTGAGTGAGTGAACGCAGCGCACGGTAAAGATCCCCTGAGAGCATTCGCAAGAGTTGGACATTGAGTGCCGCTGTCAGGGTCCACACGCAAATTACTCACTTGGCATGATATACAAATTAACCATTGTAAACGATAACTTTTAAAAAAGTCCGCTATTAGTCAGAGCTAATGCGATGTGCGTTTAGCATATTTGTAGCACGTTATAACCAACGTCAACATCGTCATTTAGAGTAACCATTAGTCCATACGTGTCACTTGCTAATAGTCCCCGGGTCAATCACAACTTTGCCGTGCGTGCAGGCTTTGTCTCTGGCTGCTCGCTAGGGCTGCGATGCCTTTCCATGCCACAAGATGACGTTCATTGCTCCTTCCACACCGCGACAATATTTACTGCAGTGTTCTATAACGCGGTAGTTGCGTTGCTGAATAACACCGCGTTGTGTAAACTCCCTCGTTATAATGACTAATACAGGGTAAAGCACAGTCCGTGATAACAGCGTGAGATGCGTGTGTCGGCTGAACAAAGACCGAGGCACGTGGGGAGCATCAGGAAGCATCCAGCAGCATCCCAATGCCTCGTGTGACGCTGTGCCCAGGCAGCCGTACAACCGCACATTCCTACTCGCGCGACGTGGTTCTGTTGACTCAATCGCGTTATATCCACTTAGCATCCGTGTCATAAAACGTGTTCCCTAATACATTCATCGTGCTATATCCAATTGGCGTTATGAAAACACGCGTTGAGGCAGAACGAACTCTATAAACTATTTTTATTTTACCAGGTGAGACCCACTGAGCTATGTGGCTGTTTTCCAGAAGCGACCTGTCCACAAATGATAGATCAGCTAAATGACTAATCACGTTAGAAATGTGTAGCACCAGCCACAAATACTCTAGACATGGGATCCCCTTTGACAGGGTCAGTGTCTACTTAGATTCACTCACTCCGCCTATTGTCATGCGGCGTGTGCAGCTGCGTCGTGACACTTGGTAGAGTGCTGTCTTTGAGGCAGAGAGCTTTACAACCGGGTGCAGTGGTTAATTTGCTTAACAGCTTTACACCGAACTCCTTGCTTGTGGTAAAACATGTTTGCGACTTTGCTGATTGAGAACTATGCAGATTTAGATTCATAGTAACATGTACTTAGTGTGAGATGAACTTCCAAACAATTTCCTTTGCTCAACATCTCGGAATTAATGTATTTTTAAATGGTCAGCTTAAGTGATTCCGTGATGTTTATGTAACTTGACCATTAAGATTATCTATGGAGCACAATTATTTCAGTATTATTTGTCATAAGTAAACTTTAAACTGAACCCATATGTGATATTATATTGCCTGATTATTTTATTTTTTAATGTAGTCTACATATTACCCCACATTTACCATTCATTGATGTTCCCTTTGACATTGGTAATTGGCATTGTCACACCATAGTAATTCATGGGCAATTATGTAATTCTATCTGTGTCTATCTCTCTCTGCATCTACCTGTGTGGGTGTCTCTGCCGGTGTGTTTTTCTCTATATGCATCTCTCGTGTGTCTCTTTGTGTGTGCCTCTCTCTGTGTGTGGATGTCTCTCGGTGTCTGTGTCTCTCTTTCCTTTTCCACGATGTGGTGTTGTATTTACATGCAAATTCTACCTCTAGCCCCACCCACTTACCCTTGGGCTGAGCTTATCTCAAGCCAATATAACTTCGTGTTTCAGCAGCTTTCTCGCTATATTTTTTCACCTGATGATGGTTGCTTGTGTTTCGATTGAAACGTCGTGATCTATTATTTTTTTCTACCTACGTGACTTTACCGAAAGAACCAAAGAGTATTGTGATTTTGATAGTGATCGTTGTGGTGGAGGTGGTGATATTGATGGTGGTGTTAACGATAGCGGTGATTTTGGTGGTTGTAATGGTGGTATTGATGGTGGTAATGGTGGTTGACTATTAGCCCTCTCGTGTCCTTACTTCCACCACCAGGTTTAAGAATCTGCCGGTGTCTGTGCTGGAGGTGGACGTCTGGATATCTGTGCGGTCTGGAGCGGTGGACAATAGACTCCTGCAGCTCAACCAGGTGGACTCACTGGGCAGGGAGCAAGATGGTGGTGGCCTTAGAGACCCACTTACTCCCACAGAGAGCCATAGACTCACTCAGAGAGAGCACTCACACAGAGAGCCAAAGTCTCACTGACACAGAGCCATAGACTCACTCACATGGAGACACATAGACTCACTCAAACAGAGAACCATTGATTAACCCACACAGAGAACCATAGAGTCACTCGCACAGACTCACACAGAGAGACATAGACTCACTCACGCAGAGGACTATATGCAGTACATCCTCGTCTTTTATGTAATGTGTTTCGCTTAGCGCACACCACACCCACTATAACTGGAGTAGCACATGACGGACTGCTCTTATGAGTGGTGTGGGTGTTGGCGGCGTTGTTCTGTATTGCTGGGAGCTGATGCTGTACCGGTGCGCGCTGTGTTACGTGGCGTTTCATCCTTTTCCTCAGCCTTTGTTCCAGCATCTGTGTATAGTGTCATCTCACTCACTCCCTTATAGTTTTCACTCATCATATCTCCCTTTTACGTCCTTTGTATGTATATTGATGAATGTAACACAATTTTTATTATTATTTGGCTGCTATAAATTTCCACGTCATAAGCTACTTCATTCATCTATCATTTGTGGCCAGTTCGCTTCTGAAATAGAAGCTAATAGCTTAGAGGGCTTTACTAGGTAAGATAAAAATTGTTTATTTTTATTTTTTTGTGATTTGCTTACCTTTCCTATACTTTTCACTTCGATTGTGTTTTTGCATCGTTTGTTCTTGTAACTTTCTGTACCACCCCAACTGGAAATCTGTGAAAAAGGGCTTTTTAGATTCCTCCAGTATAAATAAAGATTATAATATAGATCTTCTATATATACACAACACATTTAAAATAAACATAGAAAACAGTGTACTGTACTCTCAATTAAAAATAATAATAAAAGTTACATTGTGCTAAAACGGAATCCCCCCCTTTACCGTTTTTCCTTGTGGAAAAGTTTTCTGCTTGACGTAAAATAGCTTTAAGCAGCAATTTTCGACAACGCAACCCCCGCGTTAAGCAAGGATATGTTGTACTCACTTACACAGAGAGACATAGACTCAAACTTGATTTGGCACTTTCGTGACTGCAGGAATTACTCTTTGGTTATTTCGGTAAAGTCACGTAGACATAGACTCGCACAGAAAGCCATAAACTCACTCGAACAGAGAGACTTGGAGTCAATCACACAGAGCCATCGACTCATTCAAACACAGATGATGATAACAGATACCCATGAACTCACAGCGAGACCCATGGACTCACACTGAGACCAGTAAACTTACCAGACCCGTAGACTCACAGAGACCCATAGACTTACAGAGAGGTAAAGACTTACACAGAGACCCATAGACTGGTGAGCGAGATTTGAACTCGGATCACCAGATTTGTAGCACAGCACATTCGCCGATAGACTACCGTTCACCTTACACACTCACACACGCACTCACATGCTCACTCATTCACGCACTCACATGCTCACTCATTCACGCAACCAGATGCTCACACATTCAATCAATCACTCAATCACTCACACACTTGCGTTTTATTGCATGTAGCAATATCTTCAGGAGCTAAATGTCAATTATTGAGGTCTGTTAAGGTAAGCGAGTGTGTGGGTGTGTGGATGACATAGCAATAGTGGGTGAGTAGGTGAGTGAAGAGGTGAGCTCAGTAGCATGTTGCAGGTCTCCCCCAGGACAAGGCGGGTCATATTTAGGGTGTGTAACATGTTGATTGACTGGGTTGAGTGTTGTGTGTTTGTGAGCGAGTAGGTGAGCTCACTCGAATGTCGCAGGTCTCGCCGAGCGTTTTCCAATCAAAGATTAAACATATGAATGAGTGGTGGGATTTTTGTTATTTTTTTTCAGGTGAGCAGCACCACCTTAACACAAATATCTGTATTACACCTTCATCCATGTAATAGCTGTGTCTGTCTTACACCTCCATTTTCTTAGAATCCTCTGGATTTGACATAGGGCATCTTTTTCTGTGTGTGTGTCTGTGTGACCCAGTCCTGGGCCTTCCCTCAGTCGACTCACCCTCTAATGAGTACCTGGTGCAGTGTCTATAATAAACATCAGCACTTGGGAGAGATAAAGGTGGCCTTGTGCATGGTGTTGGCCACATCACATCCCCACAGCGGATTTTGGCGAACCATCGAACAAAGACGGTCGCTGCATCGCGCTTTCAACAGCGCTTCTGTGGCTGTCTCGAACGCTCTTCCTTCTGATATTAGAAGCCACTGGAGCTGTGCACTTTAACATCGAGATTGAAAACTAATTTCTTTAGAACTAATTTTTGTGCTTAGTTTGTTGTCCTTCCCCTGCACCTCCGATTAGCACGGTTGGCTACGTACCGTGCAAAAGAAGTTCAGCATACAAAATACATTCCACCCCCTCGTGTGTTCCACAGCACAAGGATCCACAACTTGCCCTAAAGTGTCTATTGAGGCTACTTTGGTGACCTGTGTGGGTGCATAATTAATTCTCATTATTTTATGAAATGGCCTTCATCAACAAAGGACACGAGTCCATTGAGGGACGGGGACAGCGTGGGGCCCTTCGTGGAGCTGATTCTCGCAATGGCGGAGGAAGAGTTGGAGAGATGCAGCAGAGGAGGGGGTGGCACCGCACAATGTTCATGCTGAGAGTGAACGTGGCACTAGGGGAGGCTCCGGAGTTGGGCCTCCTCAGGGCGACTGGCGATAGAGTGGAGAAGTCGAGGTGAGAGTGACTCGGGGAATGGGGGTGAGGTGAGTGGAGGGGTGACTCGGGGAGTGAGATTAGTGGAGGGGTGACTAGGGGAGTGGGCGTGCACCTGATTATGCACGAATGTGAGTGGACTACCCATGCATTCATCATCATTATCGGCATCATCACCAGTAGTAAATCCACCTTCTGCGGCCAGACCACCAAGATTATATGGCCTTCCAAAGATACATAAAGAAGATACACCCTTCGTCCCATCGTCTCCCCTATCAACTCCCCCACCTACAAACTGGCTCGTTTTCTGTCTGATATCCTGCGACCTTTTACTGGAAAAACCACCTCTGCAGTACTAAACTCTACTCACCTGGTATCGACAATCAAGGGTATTTCCCTATCCCCAGACGAGCTGCTTGCCAGTTTGGATGTGGTTTCCTTATTAACCAAAGTTCCTGTACTTGACACCATCACAATCATTGAAGACTTGGTTCATCAAGGACTGTATACTGATGTACCACCCCTGGTGAGACACTGCTTAACCAACACATACTTCACCTGGAATGGAACTTTCTACAAACAAACTGAGGGCACCCCAATGGGCTCCCCCCTATCTCCGGTTGTAGCCAACGTGTTCATGGAAAAATTTGAAACTGACGCCATCCAGACTGTCACTCTACGCCCGACCTTATGGAAGAGGTACGTGGATGACACTTTTGTCATCTGCCCACATGGCCTGCCTGCTCTAGACCAATTCCTCGACCACATCAATTCCATACACCCAGCCATCAGATTTACTATGGAAGTCGAAAAAGATGGCAAGCTACCCTTTTTGTATGTCCTAATTAAAAGGAGACCTGATGGTTCAATGAGCCACTCTGTCTACAGGAAAGCTACCCATGCAGATGCTACCTTAAAACCGGATTCCCACCACCATCCATCCCAGAAGAACTCCCTCATCAAGACTGTATACCATAGAGCCCAATGCATTTCCGACCAGGAACACATTGCCAGTGAACTCAAGCACGTACACCAAGCTCTCAAGGCTAATGGTTACTCCGACTACACAATCCGCAAAGTCATCACTCCAGTCATGGAGAAGGATCCGCTTGAGGAGCCATTCAAAACCATCACCTTACCTTACATTGCGGGGGTCACAAAAAAGATCTCCAAAACCGTGAATAAACACAAGATCCAGGTCCGATTCAACACAGTACATAAAATCCGTGATCTGGTTCCTTCTGTAAAAGATGTGATTCCAGACATACAGTACCCGGGTGTTTACAAACTAAGTTGCCTCTCAGTTTAACACGTAGGCTTTCGCGACCAATATTATTCATAATAAAGGTTTTTTTATTAGATCGCGTTATTTATAAATGTGTCGTAACCCTCCACCACCCGACATGGCCAATCAGCAAAAAAAGTGTCACGTTGACAAAAGACAAATAATTCACTACTTTAGCCCACCGGTGTGTTGAAGAGTGAATCCACAACATTTACAGTTTGGGTACGACGTTTCTCTGGTAATTACGGTTTTTAAAATTTTATTCAGTATCTCAGCGGAGACAACAAAAACAAAACAAAGCAAAAACCGAGGCGCCGCCCCCTCGCTCGCGCCATAAAGGCCCCGCTCAGTCACCGACCCATCCTCTGGACCAGAGTCACCCCGGCCCCCCCCCCCCCCCGACCGCCCTAGCCCACCCTGGGTAGCGGCCACTTCCATCGTTCCCTTGCGGCATCGCGCCCCATTTTCACCCGGTCCACTACCACCCTTTCCAACAATCTCCTCGCAACATGTCTCCAACGGGGACATCAGGGACCCCTCCAGCTCCTTCTTTCGCGCTTTCCACAGCGCCTCCTTCGTCGCTCCTATTACAGCCCACACCTGGTCCCTGTCCTCCCTCCCCACCCCCCGCAGCTCTCCCCACATGACGTCCCGTGCCGTCACCCTCGACAGCGCGAAATGGGCCAGCAACGGCTTACTCCTCCAGACCTCCTGGGCAAAAGGGCATGCCACCATCACATGCGCTGCAGTTTCGTCCGTGTTGCAGCCCCTCAGGCACTTGGGGGTATGCGCCATTTGGCGGCTGTACAAGAAACCCCGCGTCTCCAACCTGTCCCGGACAGCCAGCCATGACAGGTCCCTCTGCTCCTTCGTGAGCGCTGCCGACAACACATTACTCCAAATCTTCCCATGCATCACCCTCCTCGCACCGACCACCTCGTCACAGGCCTCCTCCTTCTCCGCCGCAGCCCGCACCTCCCTGGAAGCCCACCAGCCCCCCCACCGGTTCAGGCCGTGCTGCCCGACGTAGCTCCCCACCACGTCGCTGACCCAGCGCCTCCGCCAGTCCAATTCAGTCGATACCTCATATAACACGCTGCCTTGCCCCGCGGCTCCGCAGAGAAGAACAGCCGCAGCGCATTGCAGACAAAAGTCGATTGCAGGGTATACCCCACATTTGGGGCACCCCTCCCCCCATTCCGGACCTGCAGACACACCACGGCCCTCCTCACCCTCTCCATCCCTCCCCCCCAGATAAACCTGAAAATCGCCGAGGTCAAGGCCTTAGCCTCCCTCCCACCTGGCGGGAAAACCTGCGCCAAGTAGTTTAGGGATGGTAATATTTCTGTCTTTACCACCATAATCCTACCGGCCATCGTGAGCCGCCTCCCAGCCCACTTACCGAGACAGCCCTTTGCCTTACTCACCCCCTTCTCCCAGCTATTTTCTCCCATCCTATCCCCACAGAAGAACACCCCCAGTATCTTTATCCCCTCTGTTTGTAGACTCAGTTCCGACGGCCGACCCTCGAAAAGCCTCGAGTCTCCAAACACCATCAGCTCACTTTTCCCCACACTAACCTTCAATCCGGAGGCCGCGCAGAACCTCCCCATCCCCTCCATTGCCCTCCATACCGATGCTATGTCCCTGCATAGCACGGCCACATCGTCCATGTACAGGGTCACCTTTCCCTGCTGCTTGCTCCCCGGTATTACCACCCCCCTAATCCTCTGGTCATTCCTTATCATCTGCGCCAGAGGCTCCATGCACATGACAAATAGTACTGGGGATATCGGGCATCCCTGCTGCACCCCGGATCCCACTGGAATGATCCCGGAGCGTTCCCCATTTATCAGGAGCCTGGCCCTGAGCCCCTCATAGAGTCGCTTCACCCACTCCACCAGGGGCCCACACACCCGCATCCTCTCCATCACCGCCAGCATGAATTCATGAGACAGGCGGTCGAAGGCCTTGTCCAAGTCCAGACTTAGGATCCCCAACGGGCACCCCCTCTCTCTCTCGCCCTCAATCACCTCGTGGGCACTAAGAAAATTCGAACGCCACCGTACCACCTACAGTGTGATGGACAAGTAGATAAGCTTAACCGCATGCTGTCCGCAATGTTGTACCATGTTGTAAATGGTGATCAGATGGACTGGGACTTGCACATCCCAGGGGTCCTAGGGGCATATTGTAGAGTGCCACATGCATCGGGCGGGCTCTTCCCCTTCTTTTTGATGTATGGGAGAGACCCTGAGCCACCTATTGAGGACCAACTGGTGGCTTTCCCTGCTAAAGTTGTGTCGTCGCCAGCCTCCCTCAGACTGCCACTAAAAAGCTCTGTGAAGCTCGTGAAGCCGCGATAGCGGAGTCAGCCAGATCGCAAATAGCAAACAAACGGTTGCGGAAAAGAACGGAGACGCCTGTACCATTTGAACAGGGTGATCGGGCCTGGTTACACTGTCCTGAGGTCCGGGTTAGCACATCTGCCAAACTACACCATCTTTGACAAAGCCCAGTGGAATTGTTAAAATCCTCTGCCCGCAAAGTGTTCGCATCCAAATGGGACGCCAGAGATGGGTGGTTAATCCGAGTCGCCCTAAACCATATAGAGAACTGACGTCACAAGGGATCGTTCAGGCTCAAAAAGGCCGTGTCCAGGGGCGTCGTGACGAATGCCAGGGAGGGGAGCATCCTCCTCACAGAAATACTGCCCCTGCACTCTCCTCTCAGGATCGACCGGAATGAAGATGGCCACGATGAGGGAGGCCGACGGACTAATTTCGAGAGGTGCCGAGAAGGAGTGTCACCGGGTCGAATGTGCTGCTCGACCACACCTACAGTACATATTGATGGCTTGTTGTAAATATAGGGCTAATGATGTTGCGTATTGTTTGCCTAAGAATGTACACCTTCAATAGGGCAGCCCACGTAAGAGTTTGGTGATGATACTGAATGGTCAAGTTGGGTTGTAATGCCTTCCCCCACTTGATTCAAGCGCTTATGTTATGCATTAACCCAGAGGTTAAATGTTTTGTACTCCATGCCCACATCATTGAATCCCGTGTGCGATCCCATTGATTCCCACATAGAGTTCCCTATTATAAATTAGAGTTGTAGCCGGGACAGATATTTTTATGGGCAGAAGAGGGTGATGTAAGGTACTGTACATGGCAAAAGTTATAGTGGTGTCAGTGGAGATGGGTGGAAACAGGTGCATGGTATCGTACGAGGGGAGGTTCAAGGTAGAAGACGGAAAAGTCTGCTGGAATAATCTTAAATTAAAGCTTTCGTGAATGCATGGATTCATACTCTTTGGTGGAGACGATAGCACAGAGTGGTGTACCTTCTTTATGACTCTGATATTTCCATCCTACCTGCCTATGTCAGCTGTTATTTACGACTCTTTCTGTCTCTCTCTATGCCTCTCTCTTAGATCTCTCATGCTCACATGTCCTTTGGATTGCACTCTCACGCCTTTGGATTCCACCACTCTTCGATATTACTTTAACATGCTAATCTCTCACATTAACATAGCCCCTTTCATGCCCTCTATGAGGAGGCCGCTCTCCGTTCTTACATTTACATGCTAATTTCTCACATTAACATCACTAGCCCCGCCCACTTATTTATGGCCCTTGGGCTACACCCATTTCAAACTCTTTTAAACATTCTGCCTCAACAGCAGATCATGCTTTGCCATCTGATGACGGACGCTTGTGTTGCACCCGAAACGTCGTGATTTATTTTATTTTATACCTACGTGACTTTACCGAAAGAACCAAAGAGTATGGAAGATACCAAGTCAGCTTCATCCCAATGGTGCTGTTTAGGCGAAAGTTTATCTATGAGTATATATAGGCTGGCTGACAGGTATGAAGTTACTCCTTTGGTGTTAATATACAACAAAAACAATGATAAATGTATAACCATTGTCATGGGTGAAGTCTTCCCATACTGGATCAGTCATGGAGATTGTTTCACCATACGCCATCATGCTTTTCAACGTGGGTTGATAACGAAAAGGCTCATGGTCAGTTTGTTTGATGTTAACTATAACCGAGAATCAAACTCAAGTGGCCTGATTCATAGTGCAATGCACAAACCATTGTGCCACCGTTTCACTCGTATGTACAAGTTAACAGGGAAATTAAAAACTATGCCATGTTTTTTGTTTACTGTCAATAAAATGAGAAAATAACATTGCCACGTTGGTCAACCCGTCGTCTGAAAATTACGAGATGTACAAGTCAAAAGTCTTAGGTATAATGCAGACAAGGGTTTTGGTAGTTGGACGATTTCATAATGGGTTGCAGGTGACAATCCTAATCAAATGCCATTTTCAAGATCGTGTGCATAAGTCTGTTGTAGACAAAAACAACGGCCTGCTGATAAAGCATGTCCTGCATTCTTACATGTGTAAAGAAGCTCCTTCGCAGGTTTCATTTTCTAGATGATTTATTCCCGACGATAACATATTTACAAGGTGAGAGTGCAACTCACACGTTGCACAAGGCTATGACTATCTGCAGTCCCGGTGGTTTCTAATAGAGTAGATTAATCTCGAACAGTCTTTCTTGATGGTTTCCACCATGTTGATTTCCAACAGTCGGCCCCGATGTCATCCACCTGCAGTTGTTCTTCAGTCCCCAAGGCATCACCCCATTTGCGGGCCATGCTCCCCCTTATATACCCGCACGGCCACGCCCTGGTAACTTTCAGCAGTTTTCCCCGGTAGATTCTCTCAGCAGACTCTATTGTCTTCTACTTCACTTCTCTTGGATGGCAAAGTTTATAGTGGGGGCAGTGGAGATGGGTTGAAACAGGTACAGGTTACTGTACGGGGGAAGGTTCGTGTGAGTCGTACTCTTGCGTTGTAAATACGTTATCGTGAAATAAATCATCTATCAAATGGAACCTGCAAAGGAGCTTCTTTACACATGTGAGTGTAAGCCTGAGTACAATCTCACGTGTTGTTGCTGTCGAGTATTTTAATTTTACCAGTGGGTCAATGAGGGAAGGGGATGGTGATTAATGTAGTGATAGAATGGGTGGGTCATTCTTGAGAGCATGAAAAAGTGCGTGAGTGAGGTTGACACAGTGAATGATCGGGTGATTGTGTGATCAGGTAAATATATGACTCATGAGGAGAGAGAGGGAGTATTTACGTGAGTCATAGATTTAAGGAAGTGGGTAGGTTCATAATGGAGTGAGTACCAGTTTATTGAGTTGAACAAGGCGAGAACTAAAGCGACCATGATGAGTCTCATTTGCAAGAGAGACCTGGATCACCCAAATTACCAAAGCTAAATAAAACACAGAGTTACAGTAATTAAAGCAAATATACTATTTTCTTCTTTCGATAAAGCATATATAAACAATATAAAGACAACTGCTGTGTCTCATGGGAAATCGACGTAATGGAGCTAAGGGATGATAGAATGTGTGAGTAATGTGCGACATGGATGTCCTCTGGCCCCTACACGACTGAACATTTTCTTTGACTACGTAGTTTGAGACTATTTCCATGGATGTACCAGTAGAATTTATATCTGGTATAGATATAATGGGAGGCTGATCGATGCCCGAGCCGGTCATGGTATGAATCTATATTGTTAAATAATATTATGAATGCGGATGACCTGGTGATTACTGCCCACTCTAAGGAGAAGTTGGAGACACTACAGCCAAACATGAAGCATGCTACTAAAATATGGGCCGTTACCATCAGCCCCACGAAAACAAATCACCTCCCTGGGTATTTTACATCATAAAAATGCTCCCTTCCTCAATTCCTCATGTATTTGGGGCACCTGAGGAGAGAGTGGAGTGGGCAGTGTGCTGATGATCATCTCCGTTTTGGGAGCTGAGGTCTCATTTCAAATTATTCGAGCAGCATTATATTTTCATCAGCTGCTCAACACAGTGTGGAAGCTACCTGGCATGCCACTCCATACAAATCTTCATGTCTTCTCGGCCAAAGATATACCCTCCCTTTTCTCTCTCGAAAGGAACATTTAGGTTAGCTTGCCCACGATCTATCCAGGGTTTAACCAGACTGGACTTTATGAGCTCACAGATTCCTAGAATATCTGGACAAATGCCCATCTGTGGGCTCCTCCAGTAAGCGAGGCTGCGTTGATTGTGTCATGCAGTCCGTTTGTACAGCCACGGCATCCCCAAGCAGCTTCAATTTGGCTGGATAGATGGCGCTAAGTGGGCGTGGTACGGGCTAGAGAAGAGATGGACTGATGTGGTACAGAAGGATGTGGAGCTGATTGGACGTATTGATGACTGGTATCAGCAGTGTCATGATCGGCTTCTGTGGAGGAGGTTCATGAACGGCGCTACTGGGGAGGTGGAGGCAGTCGCCCTCCAGCAACAGCATAGGGCAGAGAAGAGAGGCTCAAAACAACGAGCATAGCGCCAAACAACTGAAACAAAGAAAGTTGGCACAGTGGGGAGCACGGCTGTTGCATCTGTCCATCATCTTCCTAAGTCAATCCAGGGCACCTGCGTCTATTACATGACCTCCTGCCAGCCAGCCTTCGACACTTCACGTGGCCTCAAAATACATCGAGCATGGCACAAGTGCTGTGGTGATGTCACCGCCACTTAGGGGTGAACAATGGTTGTTGTGTTGTGCGTGTGTGCACGGACGCATGTACGCCTGTGAGTCTCTTGTATGGAGAGAGAAAGATAGGCAGCTGGGCGTGGTGCTGGCCCGTGTGCTATTCTAAGCTGCATAGGCGCTGCTCGCTAACAGCACTTGCCCCAACATTCTGGTAAGGCTATACGGCGAATGATTGTCGCTGTTGTGTGTGTGTATGGACGTTCACCCCCCTCCCACCGCCCCCGTGTGTGCAGTTTTAGGGACTCATTACGCCCCCTCCCGACAAGCAGGCCAGCATCCGGACTAAAGGTAAGTGACAATAAAAACAGATTTTTTTTTTCCATTTAAGTAACTTTATGTTTTGCTCACAATACAGTAGTTATTACAGTGTTGCATGCAAATGTACGATATTTTGTCTTACATATGACTTTGACAATGTTTACATGTTTTGCTGAACCGTGATAACATCTTAAAAAACTTACAGCATGTGGATTTCAATACAGTACACTATTGTATTCAGACTTATGAACTATTCGACTTACGGACAGTTCTCAGGAATGGAACCCATAAGTTGTACTATTCGCTAACAGCACCTTCCATTGGTATGGTTGACTACATACGATGCAAAGAAAGTTAAATATAGATACATATATATTGTACAGCACTTTCCCCAATAGTATGTTGATGTTCTATGGGGTATGTTTGTCTTGCTGAGTAATGTTTTAATTGGGGCGGTGTCATTTTCATAATTTCCCCAATGATTTTACATGGCCGACTTGCGCGTCAGCAATTTTCGCACCCAATGGATAAATCTCTTCTTCTTCTTGGGCCTGGTGGTGGTGGTGGCAGAAGCGGCGGTGGAAGGGGCATCGGTGGCATCATGGTACATTTGAGACACGGCGCATTTCAATTCTTTCAGCTGGCTACTGAGATGAAGGTTCTCTTCATGCAGCCTCTTTTCCCCATGCCACATGTCCTCGTGACGCACCAGCTTCCCGCGTAGCCTAAACTGTTCCTGGCCTCTCTGCGGATCCAGGAAGTTCAACTCCGTCAGGTGGGCGTGCAGCGACCTCCGGAGATCTTTGTTTTCACAGCGCAGCGACATTTGCCGCTGTGCTGCATTGCAGTCTCGGAAAAAATCCGCATGGAGAGACTTGCTCTCCCTGCAAGGCACTCTCGTGGACTCCAGCTCCAACTGGCACTCTTTAAGCTGTTGAACCAGGCTCCTGTTCTCTCTCTGGAGAGTCTCTCGGTTCTCCATCAACTCCTCCTGCTGCTGCTGTAGCTCCAGACGGAGCATCTTGTTCTTCTGACAGAGCTCCACATTCTGCTGGCTCATCCTCTCCGTTTGCAGCGTCATGGTCTCGCGGTAAAAGTCTGAGATGGAAAGCGTAAAACGACGATAAATGAAGATCTCCATCCCAAGCATTGCCAAGACCAGAACGCCAACGATCAGCAGCGCCATGCTCAGATCGTGTTGACGGCACCCGGGACAGAAGAAAGTGTGAGACACGTCACGAAGGGGCGTGTTATTTATACTAACGTCATTACCGGATGTGACGTACGCTTTGACGTACGGCCATCCCTGCCCACTTATTGTCGATCATTGCCAACCACGTGACTACACGGCCCCGCCCCTAACCGCGCAGCTCCTCCCCCATACTCTTCTTCCGCCTTCCCCACGTGACGCGAATCGAGCCAATCACGCGAGAGGCGGCGCGCGGTAGGCCCCGCGTCCGCTTCCCGCCATTCTTGCAATGGGCGGCGGGGCCGCGCAGGGTGGGGGGGGCGGAGGGGGGGGACGCGGGGGGCGGGGGGGGCGGGGCTGAGTTCACTCTCACGTCGCGAGCGGGAGGAGGAGGGACGAGGGGGAGGGGCCAGGAGGGACGAGGGGGAGGAGCCAGGAGGGACGAGGGGGAGGGGCCAGGAGCGGGAGGGGGGGCGCCGTGGTGCCGCTCTTGGGCCGCGAGGCCTCCCCCTGGGCCCGCGGCGCCACGCGGAGACCGCGACAGCAGCAGCAGGAGGAGGTGGTGGTGGTGGTGTTTGTGGTTGTAGGCACGGGAGAGGTGGTGGTGGTGTTTGTGGTTGTAGGCACGGGAGAGGTGGTGGTGGTGTTTGTGGTTGTAGGCACGGGAGAGGTGGTGTTTGTGGTTGTAGGCACGGGAGAGGTGGTGGTGGTGGTGTTTGTGGTTGTAGGCACGGGAGAGGTGGTGGTGGTGTTTGTGGTTGTAGGCACGGGAGAGGTGGTGGTGGTGTTTGTGGTTGTAGGCAAGGGAGAGGTGGTGGTGGTGTTTGTGGTTGTAGGCACAGGAGAGGTGGTGGTGGTGTTTGTGGTTGTAGGCACGGGAGAGGTGGTGGTGGTGTTTGTGGTTGTAGGCACGGGAGAGGTGGTGGTGGTGTTTGTGGTTGTAGGCACGGGAGAGGTGGTCACGGACAGGTGGTGAGTGCCAGGTAATGGGAGGGTGGAGTGAGTGAGGAGAATTAATAGGTGAGGAGGGTGAGTGAGTGAGTTCATGAGGAGAATTAATTGGTGAGGAGGGACCTCCTGCCAGCGGGCGTTCGACACTTCACGTGGCCTCAAGGTGCACATGGCCTGGCACAAGCGTCGTGGTGACGTCACCACCACTTAGTGGCGAATGGCAGTTGTAAACGCATGTACATGTTGTGTGTGTGTACATGTGTGTGTAAACGCGTGTGTGTACATGTGTGTGTAAACGCGCGTGTGTGTGTGCATGTGTGTGTCGAATCAGCCTCAAATCAGTACCTGGTGCGGCGTGCAAACGACGCCATTAGGGAGGTAAAGGCGGCCGGACGTGGTGTTGGCCACCCACCCCATCGTGTGCCGTGTAGGCCTCTATAGGTGCTCGCTAACAGCACTTGCTCCGACAGTCTGTTAAGGCTACACGAGGGGTCTTTGTCTTTGTGTGTGTAAGCGCGCGTGGGGAGCGGTGGCGCCGTGGTTGGCGCACTGCGCTATGAACCACTCATGTTCGACATTGTTGACGAATATCTGAACCTGTCTCGGGCCTCCCCTAAGTCGACTCGGCATATTATCACAATTGAGGAGCCAAAAGCGGCTGGGCATGGTGCTAGCCAGGTACCCCCTCGTTCGCCATTCTCTCTTTAATATATACTCACTACTCTACGGGACGTCTGGCAAAATATTACCAAGCTGCAGCATTAACAAAACTCTTTAGTACGTGTCGTGACCCGGTAGTGCAAGATCTGACCATGTCTGTCCAGTGCTCGCCAGGCCACATTGGTTTCCTGTTGCCGAACGAATCGATGATAAGGTCGCACTCATTACACACAGTGCTTGCCACAAATGAACCACAATACCTTGCTGATCTCGTTAAGGAGCATAATCTATCACGCGAACCCCAGTCACCATCGCAGCAGCTCTTGACTCACCATCGAACAAAGACGGTCACTGCATCGCGCGCTTTTAAATGCACTTCTACGGCCGTCTGGAACGCTCTTCCGTCCGATATTCTGAAACCACTGGGAGCTATGCACTTTTAAATCTAGATTGAATTCTAATTTATTTAGAGCTGCTTTTTGTGTGTTAGTTTGTTCTTACCCTGCACCTCCAATTATCATATGGTGCGAAAGAAGTTCAACATACATACATAAATACTCACGAACTGAACTTTCACAAATATCATGTTCAAACTATACGGGGTATCTTTGTCTTTTGTGAATGTTTGCGTGTGTGTAAATGAGTGAAGCGAGTTTGCACTTACACCACTGAGTGATGCTTTTTGCATTGTTAATCATAACCCCTGCCGGACAGATTTCCATGATACCCACTAACAGAAGCTCTTGCAGTAATGCTCACTAAACGCCACGGTTATAGTGAGCGTTGTGAAAAATGGTCAAAATGTAACCGTTTTGCGCTGGAGTCGTGAGGTGTGCACGTTGGGGGGGGGGGGGATTTATAGCCATGCACGTGAAGGACGCATACACAGCTACACGTATAACACAGTACACACACTCACACAGTGTGGGGGGTGAGACTACTTAATAGCCAAAAACAAATCAGCATTTTGTCTTAAATTGCGGTTGCCGAGTGCAGGCACAAAGGCCAATAACGCAAGCGGTCAGCAACAAACAGCACAATTCAAGTTATAATAGATGAGAGTTGACACGTTTCTAGACATTGACTCATGATATATCAAAGAATTTGGGACAAAGACGATGGGGGGGAATTTCCAAGTGGAGCAGTGCGAGGGACGACGTGGACTATGGTGAGGCCACGTTGGTCTAATGCAGACGACATCAGCTGGGATACAAGTTCTGTTTTGTAGAGGCACAATGGGCTCAGATATTCCACATTTAATATTTAGCGTCATTTAGAATATAAAAAAATAATATGTTAATTAACTGGCCTGCTATCTCCGTAGTCGAGTAAGCGGCATTGCAATCAGAATGTTGAGCTCAAACCCTGGTTGGGGTTGACTCGTATCATCATCCTTTTTGGGTCGATAAATTGAGCACTACTTTGTGGGGAAGTCCAGTCAGGTGAAGTCAAGTCAGTCTCATTTGCAAGTAGGTAGAGGTCTTGAGAATAAACTCGCCCCCATCATAGGAACGCGGAATTATCATCACCGGAAGAGGGCTGTAAGCAGGAGGTAAGCACCGCCTGAATGATTATTTTAGGAACAAATCACTTTGACTTTAGACATATGTAATGTGTCTATGACTGAATCAGTGCATCACACGAGTTGCGTGACAGGTGAGATGATCACATTGGTGGTTATCGTGAGGTAAGCTCACTAATGAATGACAAATCACCTGGTGAGGAACTCACAATTAAAATAACCAACATTGTCCCAGTACAATGTAAAACAGGCGTGTCTCGCTTCACGAGCGAGATACTTCACGCGGAAAATGGTAGATAGGCAAAAACTCGTCAAACAATCATCGTTACCCCATTGATTCTCATGCTAAAAGTTTAGCTTTGTTTCAGTCCCAAAATGTTCCACTCTTGAGAAACTTTGTTACCGTGAGAGCAACAAAAATTAATTTAAAAATTAAGTATTAAAACATCAAATGTAACACACGCAAAGAACCGCAGTGCTTGCATGTGCCACCGCTCTCCACACCCCGCACCCCTCCCCTCAACCTTCCCCCTCTCATCCTTCCTCTCTCCCCTTCCCCGACCCCTCTCCTTCCTGCTGCTACTGGAGGAGACTTCTTGGTGCCATTGCTTGCATCAGGGCCTGAGACTGAGAAAGCAGCGGAGGAGGCGACACGGCGAGCGGGGCCGCGTCTGCACGTGTCAGGGATGAGAGACGCGGGCGACTCAACACTTCACGGCGTGGGTGAGTGTGGGGAGTTTGTGGTGCGTGGGGGACGGTGGGTGGTGTGACACTTCACGGCGTGGGTGAGTGTGGGGAGTTTGTGGTGTGTGCGGAACGGTGGGTGGTGTGACACTTCACATCGTGGGTGAGTGTGGGGAGTTTGTGGTGCGTGGATGACGGTGGGTGGTGTGGCCCAGACTATAAACCGCCTGTGTAGGCTACACGGGGGATTTTATTTATTGGTGCCTAAATGGCTGTGTGTGTGTGTGTGGAAGATGGTGTAGTGTGTGAATGTGTGTGCGGTGGGGGGTAGGGAGGTCAATGTGTGTGTGTAACGCATATGAGTACCTGGGGCGGTGTGTAAATATCACACATTCGGGAGACAAAGGCGGTCCAGCGTGGTTCTGACCACCTACCATTTCCTGTACTATGTTGGCCTTTATCGGGGCTCAATAACAACACTTGCCCCACCAGTCTGTGGAGCTACATGGGGGTGTTTGTGTTGGAGCCCGTGCTGTAGGCGTCAAAGACGCGTGACCGTGGATCTTCTGGAGGGAGCGCGCGTCTGCTGTGTGTAGCGTGGAGCTGCACGAGCGGACACCGACGCAGCGATTCCCATAGCGAGTCACGAGATAGGCGCTGGAAAACAATCAAACTGAAGTGTGTGGCTGGGTTGATGAAGCGAGCACCACCATGGTGTGCTTGGCTTGCATGGTCAGTCGTGACTGATAATGAATTATTATAATACATTAAGTCACACCTCTACACCGTGTTATGGCAGTTTTTATGTTTTACCTTTATTGCATTTTCATTCCAGAAAATGTTTCACCTGCAAAATCGATTGAATATCTGATGCAAAAGGGTGCCCAGGACATGTGGGGGGTTGACCAATTGCACAGTGCTTAGCGCACATCACTACACACCTACAGTATGGACTAAATCCAGAGGCGAGTGACAAATGAATCAGTCCTGCCTCTGTCGCTTCACCAACCCGCACTAGGCAGCAAGGTGAACTATGGTAAAAAAACAACACAACCGAAAGGGCATAGGGTGCCCATTATCCAGCAGTGCTGTACTTTATTATCACATCCACATCTAATTGTGGATTTGGTTATTTTTCTTTAGATGTCTTTGTTGCATATATATGTGACTTGGCCAGATGTTTACTCTTGATTTTAAGCTTTCGTGACTGCAGGAATCCATACTCTTTGGTTCTTTCGGTAAAGTCACGTCAATATAAAATTAATAGATCACGACGTTTCGGTCACTTGTGTTGAGCCCACACTCCCACCCTCTCTTCCTACTATTTGACTTCACTCATACTGTACAACAGATTTGTATTCATTCATCCAACTCTCTGCATGTCAAAAATTACTCGAGGCGAATGTTTGCTGGCCAAATTCAGACGAGTGTGGAGTAGTATGGTCCAATAACCTCTACGACTGCCACGGCGTGCGGAGGACTGCCTGGAGCAGTGCATTAGAAAATACTTGTTTATTTTTATTGTTGTTGTGAGAATGAATTCACTGCCGTATAACATCTAGTTTGAACATTACAACCACCACCATCAACATAATCAGCGCCATTAAAATTACAACTACAATGAATGATTCTGAATATCAATTTCAATGTGTGCTTTTAAATGTAATAATCAATACATTTATAATAATCAGATTTTAACCAGCAACATCCGAAGTGTGATCAACACCATATATACCATAGCCACCACTTATGCTATTGTCTAACAAGTGTTGTGATGCCAACACACATTCTTGTGTTACTCAGAGCCTTTATTTCGGACACAACACTATTTATAGGCTTCGTTCTTGATTCTTGAACTTCGTCGTCTCTCCAATCATCCCGTCCCCTTGTGCTATCTCCTTTTATATCCTCTGAGCCCCCTTTCTGAAATATTTGCTCACTCCATTTCCTTTAGCCAACCTTCGTCCTCCTCCTCCAACAGTTGTCAACCATTGCCCCTACAGTCAATCCTCATTACCTGCCCTTTACGTTTGAATCTGTCCTCCAATCTCTGATTCTCATCTCTTGATCAATCCTCTTTGAGGCCTCCTTGCACCAACCAGAGACCTTTAATGATTTCCTGCCTGTCCGTTGACACATATGCTTATGTCAGGTAAGTGGTATGTTGCCTCGGGCATTACACAAGTAACAATTCTGGTAAAAAAACAAAAAAATATTATCCATGTGTAATGACGACTTCGACGCACTTGTCTTGAGATTTTTATTTAAGGAGCCACGTGCTCACACTTGGACAAGCAGGGACCCCACTCCAACAGCCACGAGTCTCCCGCCCATTTTCCTTAAATACGGTGTGTGGCCACGCCCCTGTCCCCGTGGCCACCTCCCAATTCCCAAAACTTCTCGCTGGACCTAGACCACTCGTTCTACCACTGTCCTCTTACGTCACCTGGCCACGCACCTATTCTCGATCATTCCCGTGGCCACCAGTCCATTTGCACTGCAGGCTGACTCCCCTGACATTACCTCCCGTCGCCACTTGTCCACTTGCACCGTAGGTTGACTCTACTGTCATTACCTCCCGTGTTTTTGTTGTATTGTTTAAGTTATATTTACTATAGTTTAAATTATGTCTCTTCCATAGACTCGATGACATGACGTCATCGAGCCTAAAATGGAAAGTTTAACATGACTAAAGCTATGGCTTGCATGAGCTCTTCAGAGGGGTATGACAGAGAGCGATTATGCAACTGGGAGGATAATAATGCAATTTATAACGCGCACAAATTTGCGGACGTAACGGCCGCAACTCAGAGGCGTGGAGCCAATCTCAGAGTCACTCGAAATCATGGTTATAGAGGTGAGTTTTTAAGTGTCTTTTGAAGGAGGCGATTCAGGTGATTCTGCGAATGTGCAGAGGGATCGCGTTCCAGACTGTTGGGGCTGCCACCGAGAAGCGGCGCATAGACATGACCATCCTGGATCTTGGTGTCAAGAGGAGGTCGTGAGTCGCGCTGCGCAGGCATCTGCCATGTGCTGAGCTGCAAGTCGTCAGTAATGAAGAAGGGTACGGCGGGCAGGCAGATGTAAAGGAATGGTGGCAGAGGCAGGTGATCTTGTATATGACCCTGCTGGCGATGGGTAGCCAGTTGAGGGTACGGAGACAGGCAAGTGAGTCGAGACGGGGATGAGTGTGGCCAATGACGACGCGTGCTAGGTTGTTTTGTAGTCTTTGAAGTCTTTTTAGGTTGCCAGTCGAGGTCCGGACTAGGACGGAGTTGCAATAGTCAAGGCGAGACCCAACTATGCAACATGCCAATGTGTTGGCAATTTCGGTGGAGATAAGAGGACGTAGGTGTCTGAGAGCCTTCAGGTGAAAGTTACATGAACTGATGATGTGATTGGTTTGACGGTCGAAGGATAAAGTGGAATCTAGGATGACACCGAGGTAGCTGATGTGATCGGTGAACCTTATGCTGTGACCATAGATGTGTATTTGTGTTGGGAGTGCTGATGAGTTGAGACGTTGCTTGGTACCTAACATGATGGCCACTGACTTTTTCGGATTAATGGCTAGGATGTGTGCAGTGAACCATTGTTGCAAGGCAGTGGTACATTCCGAGAGCCTGTCGAATCCAGATGCATTGTTATAATCGATGGCGGTGAATAGAATAGTGTCATCCGCGTATGAGTGGTGCTGAACACCGAAGCTTGCGATGAGCCAGCCGATCGGGGAAGTGTAGGCTGTGAAGAGCAGGTGACCTAGGACGGAGCCCTGGGGAACCCCGCATAATGCTTTTGTTTCAGGCGATGTGGACGTGCCCACCCTGACTTAAGATTGCCGGTCAGAAAGGTACGGAACTATCCACTTGAGTGCTGAGCCACATACAGTGAGGTAAAAAAGTATTTGATCCCCTGCTGATTTTGTACGTTTGCCCACTGACAAAGAAATGATCAGTCTATAATTTTAATGGTAGGTTTATTTGAACAGTGAGAGACAGAATAACAACAAGAAAATCCAGAAAAACGCATGTCAAAAATGTTATAAATTGATTTGCATTTTAATGAGGGAAATGAGTATTTGACCCCCTCTCAATCAGAAAGATTTTTGGCTCCCAGGTGTCTTTTATACAGGTAACGAGCTGAGATTAGGAGCACACTCTTAAAGGGAGTGCTCCTAATCTCAGCTTGTTACCTGTATAAAAGACACCTGTCCACAGAATCAATCAATCAGATTCCAAACTTTCCACCATGGCCAAGACCAAAGAGCTCTCCAAGGATGTCAGGGACAAGATTGTAGACTTACAAAAGGCTGGAATGGGCTACAAGACCATTGCCAAGCAGCTTGGTGAGAAGGTGACAACAGTTGGTGCGATTATTCGCAAATTGAAGAAACACATAAGAACTGTCAATCTCTCTCGGCCTGGGGCTCCATGCAAGATCTCACCTCGTGGAGTTGCAATGATCATGAGAACGGTGAGGAATCAGCCCAGAACTACACGGGAGGATCTTGTCAATGATCTCAAGGCAGCTGGGACCATAGTCACCAAGAAAACAATTGGTAACACACTACGCCATGAAGGACTGAAATCCTGCAGCACCCGCAAGGTGCCCCTGCTCAAGAAAGCACATATACATGCCCGTCTGAAGTTTGCCAATGAACATCTGAATGATTCAGAGGATAACTGGGTGAAAGTGTTGTGGTCAGATGAGACCAAAATGGAGCTCTTTGGCATCAACTCAACTCGCCGTGTTTGGAGGAGGAGGAATGCTGCCTATGACCCCAAGAAAACCATCCCCACCGTCAAACATGGAGGTGGAAACTTTATGCTTTGGGGGTGTTTTTCTGCTAAGGGGATAGGACAACTTCACCGCATCAAAGGGACGATGGACGGGGCCATGTACCGTCAAATCTTGGGTGAGCACCTCCTTCCCTCAGCCAGGGCATTGAAAATGGGTCGTGGATGGGTATTCCAGCATGACAATGACCCAAAACACACGGCCAAGGCAACAAAGGAGTGGCTCAAGAAGAAGCACATTAAGGTCCTGGAGTGGCCTAGCCAGTCTCCAGACCTTAATCCCATAGAAAATCTGTGGAGGGAGCTGAAGGTTTGAGTTGCCAAACGTCAGCCTCGAAACCTTAATGACTTGGAGAAGATCTGCAATGAGGAGTGGGACAAAATCCCTCCTGAGATGTGTGCAAACCTGGTGGCCAACTACAAGAAACGTCTGACCTCTGTGATTGCCAACAAGGGTTTTGCCACCAAGTACTAAGTCATGTTTTTTGCAGAGGGGTCAAATACTTATTTTTCTGGATTTTTTTGTTGTTATTCTGTCTCTCACTGTTGAAATAAACCTACCATTAAAATTATAGATGATCATTTCTTTGTCAGTGGGAAAACGTACAAAATTAGCATGGGATCAAATACGTTTTTCCCTCACTGTAGCTAAAAACCAGGGACACCATCACCAAGGCTGCAAACAAAAACTTTGCCGAGAGCACCCACCCCAAAATGGACTGGCTCGTGGAGAAATAGCACAAACTAGCATAGGCGTGCCATCACCTTTTTGTGTCTCTGTGCTGTCTCTGCCTGTGTGTGGGCCTTGGTGTTTCCGAGTGTGTGCTGCTGCTCCGCACTTTCCGCGCCCCCCTTTGCTTCCATACATACCTCATGCTAATTTGTCCCATTGTCTCTCAGCCTTCTCTGCCGAGTGTGCGCTGCTGCTCCGCACTTCCCACGCCCTCCCCCCTTTGCTCCATGCATTCCTCATGCTAAGTTGTCCCATTGTCTCTCAGCCTTACCTTCTCTGCCTATTTAAGGCGACTTCACTCTGTGCTGGTTCGCTCTGCTTGGATATCTATGTGTGTGTGTGCGGTCTGTATTTTAAAATTTCATACTTAACTTGCAATTTTCCAATCTTTGAAATAGCGGAATCAACCAGATTATGCGTTAATTGTGTTTTGACCGACCGTCTGTGTTGCTTCATATGGTTTCCAAATTTTGCTAAACCCTGTTTGTTTGGTGTGATTCTCTCTCTGTGTCCCCTGTTGTATCTGTGTTAGTTCCCCCTACTTGGGTGTCTGTATATACATCTGAGGTTATGTGTTTCCCCTCTCTCGTAAATTTAGCTCTTCTGTACCTGATGATGGCTGCTTGTGTTGCAACTGAAACGTCGTATGCTATCATGTTATTTTATTATTTCTTATTTATACGTGACTTTACCTAAAAAAACAAAGAGTAATTCCTGCAGTCACGAAAGCTTCAAATCAAGTCCAAAGCATAGCTGCTTGTTTTGTCACGTACTTTGTGCCGATTGCCGGACTGGTTCATCCTTTGGAGCGGTTTTACTGGTTTCACCGGATGTTGGAACCCAGATAGGCACGCTCTGGATATAATCAATGATCATCTGTATTTAACGTCATAGATTACAATTAAGAATTTTATATAATGAACGGCTGCAATCTTGACATTAATTGCCCACCCATACGTTTACATTAATAACACCACAACCTGACTCTTATTAAAGCTATAAATCACCAATGGCTCTGATACGTCAATCCTATACATTTGAACATTATTTGATCCTTACCCAATATACAGTTTAAACCAGCCTTGGCCTCGTGATGGATAGCGTGGACATCTGTGAAAGAGAGCTTTTTAGATTTTCGGATTCTCCATTATTAATAAATATTCAGATTTAGATTCTGGCTCCTCTGCCTGTATCTAGTGGCCTTTCATGGACAAACGCGATTTTTAATACAAAATATTGCAGACCTCACCAAATGCGGTGGGTTACGTTCCTGTAAAATACCGTGTTGGACAAAGCCGCATAAAACAATTCATAGACAAATAGGTTTGCATTCCTGGGTCCGAAATGATTACTCCCTCTGTCTGTTTAGCCGATTCTACGAGATTTCCACCCTCATTGTGCTAAAAGGTGTTGAGTTGCTCTCCATTTCTTGTGAGTGTGTACACTTTTTATTTTCCAGTTTCACCCCACTCAGTGCCTCTTCTCTCCCTGTAGTCTGGAGGGCTGCTCACTGAAGGACAAATCGATGCCAGCTCTCCATGACATCATAATCACCAACAAGGCATTGAGGGAGCTCAGGTAAGTTATGCTGCTCGTGGCTCATACGCGCTCTGATTGTTGCTACAGACAAAACAACTTTGATTCGTCATTAACACTGTTGCCTTAGCAGAATAAAACATTAAAAAGGCAACGTTTTGGGCAATGGACCTCGATAGCATGTTTGTGTGCTATGAGAGCCATTGCCAGAAGTGTGGGGTGAGTAGTGGAGTGTATTCCAGTCCATTTAATATTCTCTTTGGTTCTTTCGGTAAAGGCACGTAGAAAATAAAATCAAATAATAATAGAATAGACGTTTCGATTGCAACACAAGCAACCATCATCAGGTAAGAATGAAAAAAAACATAGTAAACTTATAACACAATGCAACACAATAGAGAGAGAGCTGGACAACACAACAGGAAACACACCACCAGGCTGACCCCGCTCCTCCAAATAATGACAATATTCATTATCAGACCAATGAACATGACCAAACGACTGAGGAATGTGCCTGATCTTAAATCTGCAAGATAAGCAGGGTTTAGCCTGGAGTGCTTAAATGGGTGACCACTGCACATAACCACAGGCGTTATAGGCAGCAGAGCTAAGTTGCGGGCAACAGACTGCAGTTTGCAACACAATCCACCGTTGAACTATTCTACGATCCTAGATCTGCAGTCCCTGCCATCACAGACCTGCACTGACCCGCGTTGTGAAGTATGTTAAAGTAGCTCTAATAGCATGGGGAGACCTTCATCCAGCGTGGTTGTTGTAGGCTGCGTGGGTCTCGAACTGTGAGGAGCTGCCCGAGTCTCCGTGTGAACCCACGTCAGCGTGAACCTCTCTCTGTGCTGCAGGGTGAACGACAATGACTTCAGTGAGGAGGGGAAGAAGGAGCTGAGGAGCAAATGGACTCCCAGAAGAAGCCTGCAGTTGTATATTTAAGCCGATAGGCGACGCTGGCCCTGCAACAGATGGAGCTGCCCCACGCGCGACTCGCACAGCAGCCTGGCGCATTTCACCTCAAGAGCTCCGATCACCGGCACCGACTCTGAGCTTGACTGAGATGACAATGAGCGGGGAGCTTTCTCTCTCTGTGAACCCCACACGAAGCCCAAGGGTGGACGCGGCTCCGAGATTCTGATGAGCGTGGTGATTCCGATGATGTGTAACTGTATTTATGAATGTTGTGTAGGGAATCGATGTTGGGGCTCGTGGGGGAGGGGTGGCAGGGGGAATGCGGAGGGTTGCGAGGCAGGGGGTGATTTTCAGTGGTCTGGCAGCTCACCTGTTACGTCACGTAGCTACAAACATTTTCATGAATTTTGCATTTGTCACAATGCCATACACACCATACAAATCGTACACCTAATATTTGTTGCTTATAACTTGCCCATTGCTTTCATCTTCATTCTTTTGTCAACTCACGTTAAAATATCTTCTTTGTTATTGTGTGAACTCACGTTCAAATACACCATTTTTTTTAAATATCACCTTCCTATTATTACATTACTTATCTTCACTTACAGCGTTTGTGACTGCAGGATTTAATATTCTTTGCCGCCTGGGTAAAACTGCATGGCCGGAAGTCGGAGCCATTCCCTCTACACCTTCGGGTGCGACAGGCATGTCCTCTGGCTCCCACATTAATTTCCATCTATTTTTACCACGTACTTCCTGAAGCCTTCTATCTGCTACAGCTACAATTGGAGGCAGATCAATGCCCAGGTGTGGTCAAGGGATTTCTCCCTATTGCTCAACCATGTTACGTTTGCCGATCTGGTAATTGCTGCTTGCTCAGAGGAGGAGTTGGAGGTGCTGCTGCTGAACCTTGAGCTTTCCTGCTAAGAGGTGGAGCCTTATCATCAGCCCCACCAAAACTAAGCTCAGGCGGTATTTTGTACCATCGGACACTCCCAATTGGTGATGGGGAAGTTGTGGGGAGTTTCCCATACCTGGGCAGTGTATTCATGATTGGCTTCGGTTAACCAGCAGAGGTCTCGCTCCGAATCAGTTGTATGGCATTATCTTTTCATCGGTTGCATAATGCTGTGTGGAAGCTACTTGGTCTGTCGCTCTGAACGAATTTTGAGGTCTTCTCGGCCACAGTCATTCCCTCACTTCTCTATGCTTGTGAAACGTGGAGAAGAGATGGTACAGGAGGATGAGGAGCTGAGTGGACTTGCCGATGACTGGTACCAGCGGTGTCATTATCAGCCTCTGTGGAGGAGGCTCTTGAAGGATTCTACTGGGCAGTTGGAGGCAGTCGCCCTCCAACAACAACGGAGAGGGGGAGGAGCGACGCTCACAACAATGAGCAGAACGCCGGGTGGCTAAAGCACAGCAAGTTGGCACAGTAGGGGGCACAGATGGTGCATCGGCCACTCATCTCAGTCATTCGACCCATGGCACCTGGGTCTGCCCCGTGACCTCCTGCCAGCAGGCTTTCAACACTTCACGTGACCTCAACGTGCACATAGCCTGGCACAAGCGTCGTGGTGACATCACCGCCACTTAGTGGCGAATGGCGGTTGTTGTTTGGTGAATGAGTGTGTGAATGAATGTGTGACTAAGTCACTTTGTGTGAGTTAATGTGTGTGTGTGTTAATGTGTGTGTGAGTGTGTGGGTGAGTGTGAGTGGGTGAATGTGTGAGTAAATGAGTGAGATGAGTGTGTGAGTGTGATTGAGTATGTGAATGTGTGAGTGTCTCTGGCCAAGTGAGTGAGTATGTGAGTGAGTGAGTGTGTGGGCGAGTGAGCGTGTGAGTGAGTGTTTGAGTGAGTGTGTGAGTGAGTATGTGAGTGAGTGAGTGTGTATAGCCTGTGGGGAGCCTTTGTGTCTGCGTATGAATAGATACACACTTAGAGTTAGACTCACGTAGACTCTGCAAAGACAAAGATCTCCCTATAGCCTGTAAAAGACTGTAGGGGCAAGTGCTGCTAGCGAGCAGTGCCTATGAGGGCCGCCACTGTGGCACACGAGGGGGTGGGTGCCCAGCACCAACACGCCCGACCGCCTTTTGTCTCCCCAGTGGCGATGTTCACTACACACTACACCAGGTTCTCATTTGAGGCTGAGTCGACCTAGGGGAGGCCCTGGACTGGTTCAGATAATCGTCACACACACTCTCACACTCTCACTCTCACACACTCAGTTTCACTCACACACACTCACACTCTTAAACACACACTCAGACAAACACTCTCACACACACTCACTCACACTCTCACACACTCAGACAAACACCGACTCACGAAAAATATCCCCCGTATAGTCTTAGACTGTTGGGGCAAGTGCTGTTAGCGAGTAGCAGCACCAATGAAGGCCGGCACTGTGGCACACGAGGGAGTGGGTGGGCAGCACCACGCCCGGCCGCCTTTGTCTCCCCATCGGCGATGTTTTTACACACCGCACCAGGTACTCGTTTGAGGCTGAGTCGACCTAGGGGAGGCACAGGATCGGTTCACATTATCGTCACTGGTGGTGTTAGCCGTGAGCGGGGATTGAACTCGGGTCACCGGGTTCGTAGCACAGCGCAATGCTAACAGCTACAATGCTGCAGCGACCGACGTGTAGAGGGCTCCTTGTTTATTCCTCACACTTGACAGGCACAATCACTGAGCGACGTATACACACTGGGCTACGCATGGCTGACCCACTCGTACGGCCCCATCGCTGGCGTCTAAACTACACAGCTGGCTGACTGATACAGCGACGACGACGATGGGAGACGTACAGCGGATCGGCCATGCGGCCGGGCGATGGCGAAGAGATGGCGGCGAAGACAGCGACGGCAGCCAAGACTCAGACCCCCACCACAGCCCCGAACCTCCGGTCACGCCCCGCTTATATGAACCTTATGGCGGTACCCCGGGGTACCATAGTACCTCGGCTCTCGAATAATGTCCGTGACGCAGTCATTTTCAGTCTTCATATTCTTTGGTTCTTTCGGTAAAGTCACGTAGATGGGAAACAACAACATAAAAACCCCAAAACTCACTTTAAAAATCATTTTTAGTCTGTTGATGGTCGGCGATGCGGGAATCGACTCATCTCGACGAGCTGTACACTATGCACCACCACAGTGCGTACGAGCGTTCAGGGTTTCGGCGCAATCGTCCTCGCTGCGTTTCGACATCATGGAGTAGCACTGATTTCAGATTGATTGCTACCCCAGTCGCAGAGTTCAGTAACAACCCTGGAAAAAAAATAGTGTCCCAGAAATAAAATACTTAATTTCGATTTAATGCTTTCGTGACTGCAGTGATTCATATTCTTGGTTCTTTCGGCCATTTTGTATTATTTGGTACCCCAGGGTACTGCTTGGCGTGGCCAAGCCCCGCCTCCGGCCACGCCCCTTCTAGAACCTTCTAGCAGGTTCCCGGAGCTTCGCGACTGATCCCCGCCTCTGACCTTTAGCGCCGTTACGCCCTCCATAATTAACAGATGGCACCCTGTCACTACACTACTACTCCCCACTCACACACACATTCACACACTCGCACTCCCTCACCCACACACCCACACACTCACTGACCTACTCACACACTCACAAAACACCCACAAAACACACTCACACGCACTCACAACAACAACAACCGCCATTTGCCACTAAGTGGCGGTGAAAACCACGACATGTTGGACAGGCTATGTGCACCTTGAGGCCACGTGAAGTGTCAAACACCCGCTGGCAGGAGGTCACGGGGCAGACCCAGGTGCCACGAGTCGACTGACTGAGATGAGTGGCTGATACACCACCTGTGCCACCTACTGTGCCAACTTGCTGTTCTTTAGCCACCTGGTGCTCTGCTCGTTGTTGTGAGCATTTCTCCTCTGCCCTCCATTGTTGTTGGAGGGCGATTGCCTCCAACTGCCCAGTAGCGTCCTTCACGAGCCTGCTCCACAGAGGCCGATCTTGAAACGCTGGTACCAGTATCGGCAAGTCCACTCAGCTCCACATCCTCCTGTACCACATCACTCCATCTCTTCTCTAGCCCGTGCAGCGCCAGTTTAGCCCCCTCAATCTGGCCGAACAAAAGCTGTTTCGGTATGCGGTGGCTGGGCATGCGGGCTACATGACCCAGCCAATGCAGCCTTGCCCGCCGGAGGAGCTCACCGATGGGACCTTGCCCAGATCTTTCAAGGATTTGTGAGCTCTTCACATAATCCAGTCTGGTTAAACCCAGGATGGATCGTAGGCAGTCCAGCCCCAATGTTTCTAACCGGCGAAGATGTTCCATTAGGGGGGTCCACGTTTCGCAAGCGTAGAGAAGGGAGGGAATGACCGTGGCCGACAAGACCTGAAGCTTCCACACAGTGTTACGCAACCAAATAAAAGATAATCCTGCTCGACTGATTCGGAGTGAGACCTCTGCTGTTAACCTGGAGCCGGTCATGAGCACACTGCCCAGGTATGGGAAACTCTCCACTCTTTCCACAACTGCCCTATCACCAATTGGGAGTTGTGGGAGTAGAGTGTCCGATGGAACAAAATACCCAGGCAGGTGCTTAGTTTTGGTGGGGCTGATGGTAAGTCCCCACCTCTTAGTGGCAAGTTCTAGGTTCAGCAGCAGCAGCGCCTCCAACTCCTCCTCTGAGTGAGCAGCGATAACCAGATCATCAGCATACATAACGTGGTTGAGCATTAGGAAGCCATCCCTTGACCGCACCCGGGCATCGATCACCCTCCCATTGTATCTGTACCAAATGGAGATTCCTCCGGTACAGCTATTGAAGGCTGCACGAACTACGTGGTCAAAATAGATGTTAAATAATGTGGGAGCCAGAGGACATCCCTGTCGCACCCCGAGGTCTACAGGGAATGGCTCCGACTCCAGGCCACGTAGTTTTACCCGGGCCCGCTCACCATCATGAAGGTCCTTAATGATTGTGAGCAGAGGGTCAGGTACTCCAAAAGCACGAAGAACGACCCAGAGCCCAGGCCTACTGATGGTATCATAGGCCTTGACCAGGTCAATAAAGCAGAGATGTAGGTCTTGTTGGAATTCCCTACACCTCTGCTGTAGCAGACGGACAGAAAATATGGCATCTGAGCAGGACCGCCCTTTCCTGAAACCGCATTGGGGCTCCGCAAGCCTCTCCTCAGCATACCTATCAAGGCGATGTTGACTAATCCTTGCCAGGACCTTTTCCGGCACACTGAGGAGTGAGATGCCCCTGTAGTTGTTAGAGTCTGTGCGGTCCCCCTTCTTAAAAAGGAGGTCCACCAGG